TTCCTGCTGCGACACTCGGCCTCCAGAGAGCTCTGCAGGGTGTCAATGGTCCTCTGCATGTTCCTCTTGCTCTGCTCCATCTCTTCATCCTTCTCTGCAAGTTTTCGTTCAATCTCAGCTTTGATTTGATTGAATTCCAGCTGGGCTCTGAGAATTTTACCCTCCTCGTGCTCCAGGGAGGCCTGGTGGACAGCAGGGTGTCTTTGTGTAATTAACCACAAAAGGATTTATATACATTAAATGACATAATACTGACTGGACACATCTTTTACCTCAGCTTCTTCAAGAGCAGACTGGATCTCATTTTTCTCCTGTTCCAGTTGTTTGCGTAATTTTTCCAGTTCGTGGATGCTCTTGCCACCCTCACCAAGTTGCTCAGTGAGATCAGATATCTCCTCTGTGGAAATTTAAGGAGCATAAATACAATGGGTTTTGTACTAAGTTTGTAAAATCATTGAAAAAACAACTGCAGTGCACATTTTACCCTGCAAGTTTTTGTTCTCTCTCTTCATGGTCTCCAGATGATCCAGAGACTCCTCGTAGGAGTTCTTCAGTTTAAAGAGCTCAGTGCTGAGAGCTCTGGCCTCCTTCTGGGAGCCCTCCAGCTCACACTGTGACTCTTCATACTTCTGCTTCCACTCAGCCAGGACCTAAAAGAGATAAAAGAACCTCAGCAAGAAGCCAGATGGACGGAGGTAGAACTAGGGGTGTAAGAAAATGTTGATGATGCTGTCTATTTCTTTAAACAGTAGCTATAATAACAAAAGGACATATGCAGGCCAATAGTTATTAATTAAAATAACTAATTAATCAAGTTCCTAAAAGTACCTCACCTTGTCAAAGTTTCTTTGCTTCTTGTCCAGAGCAGCGGCTGCAGCATTAGACCTCTCCACGTCCACCATCAGATCTTCAATCTCATTCTGAAGTCTGTGTTTAGTCTTCTCCAGAGAGGAACATTTAGCATTCACTGCTTCCACAGCTTCCTCAGCCTCCTGCAGACGCTGAGCCAGCTTCTTCCTTAAGAAATCCATCATTCAAACATTTCATTTGTTTTTGTTTACTATTACTGCTGTATTGAAAACCACATTTTCAACCACTACGACTGGTGGCTCATTCGTTTAACAGACAAACTTTTTGTTCGTCTTATATCTTAGAAGAAACATAACACAAACAAAAAGCTGACCTGCTAGACGAAGTAAAATATCTCTGTATTTGACAGTTTAAAGAGGATGTGGATCTAAAATTCTTACTTGGCCTCCTCCAGCTCCTCAGTTCTCTGGATGGCATCAGTTTCGTACTTAGTTCTCCACTGAGCCACCTCAGAGTTGGCCTTGGACATGCCGCGCTGGAGTTCACCCTTGGCCTCCTGCTCCTCCTCATACTGCTCCCTGAGCAGGTCACAGTCATGGCGAGAAGACTGCACTGCGTGGGCCAGAGCACTCTTGGCCTGTTATATCAAGGTCATTGGCAAATATTATAATATGCCTGAAACCATGATGAGGATTCAGTGTAAGAGTAATTGAAATCTAGCCTCACCTTGGTCTCTTCCTCCAGTTGTCTCTTTAAATCTTCTACCTGTTGAGTGTAGGACATTTTTCCTCTTGTGAGTTGAGACACGAGGGAATCTTTATCCTCCAGCTGCCTCAGGAGTTCACCTGGAAATATAAATATAAATATCGTTATGCTAGAAAACCTTAGGCAATGGGTGCACTGACGTGTTAATCACCAGGTACCATTTTCTGTCTGAAGTTTGGCTTTTTGCATGTTGAAGTCATTGATGCAACGATGAGCTTCTTCAAACTTGGTCTTATATTCATTCATCTGATCTTCCATGGTCCTGCATGTCTTCTCCAGATTTGTCTAAAATGAGTGACAAAAATAGAGACATTTTAAATACACTGAACGCGATGTCAGTGTTTACACAGAATGATTTGTCCCTTTATCTCACTTTAGTCTTCACAACGTGTTCCATACTGGAGACCACATCGTCCAGCTCCAGTCTGAGCTCACTCTTCTCTTTCTCCAGTTTCTGCTTGACTCTCTGCAGGTTGTCTATCTGCTCTCCCAGGTCAGCAACACTGTCAGCCTGTTTTTTCCTCAGTGATGCAGCAGTAGATTCATGCAGCAGTGTGGCCTCTTCAAGGTCTCTGCGCAGTTTCTGGAATTCAGCCTCCCTCTTCTTGTTCATCTCAATCTGGGCAGATGTTGCCCCACCAGCTTCCTCCAGCCTCTCACTGATCTCCTCCAGCTCTCTGGCCAGATCTGCTCTCTGCTTCTCCACCTTTGCCCTGGCAGCTCGTTCTGCCTCGAGTTCCTCCTCCAGCTCTTCAATGCGAGCCTAAGAGGGCAAAATGTGAGAAATCTTTTTAGCAAACTGAGCTTCTACAAATCACCAACACAGGTATGTCAATCATTACCTGAAGTTCTTTTAGTTTCTTTTGAAGCTGAATAGCAATGGCCTGCTCGTCCTCTATTTTATTATTTAGCTGACTGAGTTCAAAGTCTTTCCTGTTTTGAAGTGGCAGAATAAAGAGTCAGATTAAAATGTTCACTAGTGTTAATATAATACAATGATTTTCAACAAATACAAAAAGGTACTTTTTCATATGTTCCTCAAGTTGTTGCTTGTCATTCTCCAGGTCCATTAGACTCTCCTGGGTCAATTTCAGATCTCCCTCCAGCTTTCTCTTGGCTCTCTCTAGATCCATTCGAATCTTCTTCTCTTGCTCCAGAGAACCCTCAAGCTAGATAGTCACAGTGGAAAAAAAAATATTTTGTCTGAACTTGTGTTGGACAGAAAAAGTTATATGCATGCATTTTAATACATACATCGTCCACTTGCTGCTCCAGCTTGACCTTAGCCTTGGTCAGAGTGTTGACTTTGTCTTCCTCACTCTGCAGGTCGTCCAGTGTTTGTTGATGAGCCTCCTGTAAGGCTTTCTTTTCCTTGGTCAACTTGGCAATGATTTCATCTAAAGCTGCCATCTCCTCAACCAGGTTTTTTACCTGCAATTTAAAAGAAGAGAAAATATAAAGAATTCCATATGTTCACAGTATAAATATTAGGACTGAAACACCAAAAACGAATTTGACCTTGTTCTCTGTAGCGTGCTTCTCCTTTTCCACTTTGGCCAGAGTTAGCTCTAAGTCATCAATGTCTTTCTTTAACTCAGAGCACTCATCCTCCAGCTTCCTCTTCTTAGCAGTCAGTTCAGCGTTCATCTCCTCCTCATCTTCCAACCTCTCTGACAGCTCTTTGGCTTTTGCCTCCATCTGAATTTTGTTTTTGATCAAACCCTCACATCTTTCTTCTGCATCAGCAAGATTATCTTGTTCCTTAATAAAATTGTAGAAATGTACAACAGTTAATTTATACAGAACTGGCTTATAGTGTGATGTTAAAATAGAATATGTAATTTCTTTTCCTGAGACCTACAGCCTGGACTTGTAGCTGCAGGTCATTCTTCTCTTGGAGAAGAGAAACCATTTTCTCCTCCAGCTCCTTCCTACGAGCTTCAGACTTGGCATAGGCTTCTTTCAGCTTCAGGAATTCTTCCTTCATGTTGGCCATCTCCTTTTCTGCCTCAGCAGATCTCAGAAGAGGTTTGATCTTGAAGTACAGCTTCATCCAGGGCCAGTTTTTGACTCCCATGAAGGCACGAATGTTCCACTGGATGACCAGCAAAGCATCTCTGTTCAAGAAAATAAATAAATAAATAAAGTTTCCTGTCAAACTAAACCAATAAGCAATTCATTAAGTCTTACCTTCTTTCAACAATCTTCTGGAATTCCACTCTAGCCAGAAGCCCTCTTGATCTTGCCTGGATCCCAGTGATAATGAGTGACAATCGATCATCTCTCATTTCTTCAAGTTGCCCAAGGAGACCGGCTTTGAAGAACACCTTTAGCCGATGCATGATAAAAACATGTTAATATTTACTACTTGAACTTAATGGATAAGAAGCATTTTACAGTTTTACTTTTAATAAGTATGACTGTGTCATACCTCAAATACCAAGTTATCAAACGGTCTATATGACAAATATATGTATCCATGTTTAGACTGCTGAAGGTGTCATTTGTTGTTGCTGTGATTTAAATTCCTTCAGTGGTTTACACAGTAATACTGTTTCCATTTTGTGTTTTACCTTGGTGTGTCCAAACTTGTACTGGTTGTGATCTATGTCTAGAGAACCGAGGAGTTTCTCTGCTCCCTTCCTGCTGTCGATGAACTGACCATCAGGGATGGCAGCAGGATTCAGGATGCGGTATCTTGTTCAAGATGAGAGAGTAAATGAGCAGAAGTGTCCATCGTGTCTCTGGATTCACGCAGCTCCGCACATAAATGAGAAAGTACCTCTGTTTGAAGTCTCCGTAGAGGATCCTGTTGGGGAAACCTTTTCTGCAGATCCTGATTCCTTCCAGCACACCATTACAGCGCAGCTGGTGCATCACCAGGGGATTCTCCATGGCCCCAGGAGTCTTGGTCTCATTGGGGATGATGCAGCGCACAAAGTGAGGATGTGTGGACCTCAGGTTGGTCATCAACTTGTTGAGATTCTCCTGTACAAGTAAATATGTAGAGGTTTATGACAAGCCATTGTTAGCCAATCACAAGTCCCTTCTTTTCAGTCCGGTTTACTCACCCTGTGCAGAGCAGACACTGTTTGGAAGGATGAACCTTTCTTCTTGCCTCCAGCTCCTTTTCCACCTTTTCCACATTCAGCTTAAAATGTTAAAACCACATACTCTCACGTAATTACAGACACTATGTACTAAAATAAATTAAGTTTTTGAAAATGCACACTAAGAAAGGATTGGCATTCCAATTTTAAAATTAATACCTGATTCAGAGCCAGCATAATTTGCAAAGAGCGTTGCAAGCAGTTTAACAGTAGACTTCTGATACAGTCCAACAACCGTCTCATTCAGAGGGTCTTTGTTCTTCACCAGCCAGTTGTTGATATTGTAATCAACAGTTCCAGCGTAGTGCATCAGGGCAAAATGAGCCTCTGGTTTCCCCTTGACAATTCTGGGTTTCTGGAAGTTTGCAGATTTTCCCAGGTGGTTGTCATAGAGCTTAGCTTTAAAGGTGGTGTCACTGGCTTTGGGGAACATGCACTCCTCTTCAAGGATGGACATGATACCCATGGGCTGCAGAGACAAAATATAATTTTATTATGATTGATCTTATCCAACTATTTCTTGCATATATGTTGCAGCATCTCACCTTTTCAATGAGGTCAATACAGGCCTGCAGGTCCATACCAAAGTCAATGAAAGTCCATTCAATGCCCTCTTTCTTGTACTCTTCCTGCTCCAGCACAAACATGTGGTGGTTGAAAAACTGTTGCAGTTTCTCGTTGGTGAAGTTGATGCACAGCTGCTCAAAGGTGTTGAACTGTAATGTGGACAACATTGACATTTAGGTGTTTTTTTTTTCCAAACAGTTGAATTATATTCGACAATAGATACAATATAACTCATGACCAAAATAACTCACATCAAAGATTTCAAAACCAGCAATGTCCAGGACACCAATGAAGTACTGACGAGGTTGACGAGTGTCTAGAGACTGGTTGATCCTGACCACCATCCACAAGAACATCTTCTCATACACTGACTTAGCCAGTGCACCGATCGCATAGTTCACCTACGAGAAGGAAAAAAGAAGTTACAGTCGATGTATATATAAGTGGGTTGACAATAAATACTGTAGTTTTGGTTTTAATTACTTGCCTGCTGGACATTTTGTCCCTTAGTGACCCACTCGTTTCCTACTTTGACTCTTGGGTGACAGAGACCTTTAATGAGGTCGGCAGAGTTCAGGCCCATCAGATAAGCGACTTTGTCAGCATCTGTGGAAAGACATAAGCAATTAATTCCTGAAATCCTGTTTTACCAGTACTTCTTCTCATCTTTCAGGAGTCCAAAGCGCGACGCTCACCTTCTGTGCCATCAGCCTCGGCCTGCTCCTCACGCTGCTTGTTCTTGAACTTCATGTTACCGTGGTGCATTATGGCACCAATCAGCTTGTAAATACCATTTTTCTCTTCCTGGGTGAAGCCCAGTACATCAAAGGCTTCCTGGATATATATTAAACAGAGGCGGCATATGTTAAACATGTCTGTTAAATGTGTCAAGTCAGGCAGAAAATAATTGACTATCTTTCTATGTTTATCAATCACACAAATGTCCCCTTCCCCGTCTGTTCAGTATAAATCAACTGCTCACATCGGTGGCCATTAGCTCTTCAGCATCATTGATGGAAGCCACAGTTGTCTCTCCTTGGGAGATGAAGGGATAGTCGTAGGGGTTGTTGGTGATCAGCAACATTTCTGAAAGGCAAAATATCATGAGAGTTTAGCTTTTGTTTTGGATGTTTGTTGGATTTTTCCAACTATATGATAATGCATTTACACTCTGAGAGCCACACACCTCCCCACTCAGGTAATAAAAAATAGAGTTGTGCACGCTTTTTTACCTAGCAGCTCAGGTTTCTTCTGAGACAGAATCTGATAAAAGATGTGGTAGTCTCTTTCAGCCTTGAGCTGGAAGGTGACGCGGGACTTTTCCAGCAGATCTGTTGAAGTGTGTGCATTATTAGGCTGATCACTATCACTGTGAGTTCAAGAAGAAAACAGATGTTTGTACTCACATGTCTCAATATCAGCTGAGGCCAGTTTCCCACTGGCAGCAAAATGGATTCTGATGAATTTACCCTTTAATTAAAGAAAGAAAATGTAAATTATAAGATGCACAAATTGTTGTTTGTTTTCTTTATTTAAATAGGAACTTACAAATCTAGAAGAGTTGTCATTTCTGATGGTCTTGGCATTACCAAATGCTTCTAAAGCTGGATTAGCCTGGATGATTTGATCCTCCAGAGTACCCTAATGGAAAAGAGGATGTGTTTAAATACACACTATATACCATTAATACATTAAATTGCATATATTTTAGCTATAGGATATAATTTTTTATTAAGATTTAAAAACAAAAACAGGTCATAACCTTTTTTTCAGAGCCCCCATCTTTCTTCCCACCTCCAGCAGCAATGCTGGCAAAGTACTGGATGACTCTCTTGGTGTTGACAGTTTTCCCAGCCCCGGATTCTCCACTGATGATGAAAAATTTAGTTTGAAATAAAGTGAATAACATTATAAAATATCACATTCTTAAGTGTTTTGCTGCTTTAGTCTATTTGTACTGAATAGTTTATGATAAGAAAACATGTACCACAGAGACCTGCTAAGCTGAGTTTTTTTTTTGTTTGTTTGACTAGTTTGATCCAGTTTATACAGTAAAGCAGATTTTACATTGAATAATCTTAAAAAATCTGAGTAAGTAATGTTTTCAATATGCAGTGATACAGATGACCCTTATTTTGAAAAGCTTCAATTTTAGTTTTTTATTTTAAAACATAATAGATATTAATATAATATATTAAAATGGCATGTGATAAAAACAAATCTTACGTGATGAGAATTGACTGATTTTCTCTATCTGAAAAAGAGAAAAAAAACAAATTGATTAGGAATTCTAAAAGTCAAATTTATACCACATTAGAGTAGCACTTTGGACATGTTTTTGCTGAAGGACATATGTTGACATACCAGTAAGCATGTACTGGTAGGCATTGTCAGAGATGGAGAAGATGTGAGGAGGAGCTTCACTCCTCTTCTTTCCTCTGTAGGCAACAACCACCTCCTGGTTGTAGACTGGCAGAAACTTGTAGGGGTTGACAGTCACACAGAAGAGTCCAGAGTAGGTCTGTCCAGGAGAGTTAACAGGAAGTCAATTTAAATACTAACATGTCTATTGTCTTAGCACTGAAGAATTATTTCAAGATACAAATGACATCTTACATAAATCATCCATGCTGCGTAACGCTCTTTGAGGTTGAACAGCACAGCTGGCTCATGGAGGAAGGTGAACATCGCCATGTCTTCAATTTTATCAAACTTTGGAGGATTTTGAGGATGTACGTCGCACTCCTTGACTGTGACGGTCTGAAAACAGAGAGAATTGGTGGTGAGCCATGAAGTCCAGGCATGTGACACCTTTGTGAGGTGAGAAAGTGAGGCGAATATTTTGTCTTTGTTAGAAATAAAAATATAATCCTGTGGAGCTGCAGTGGACATTTCTTTCACCTTTCCTTTCTCAGTCTGAGCTGTGACTTTGTCACCCTCACGGCTGATGATGGAAGCCTTCACATACTCCTCGTCTGTATCAGGAACAAAGCACTCCTTCTTCATGTCAAAAAGACGGGTCTGGGCCTCCAGACGCTCCCTGTCTGACTTCCTCAGGTAAGGGGCTGCTGCCCCAAACTCTTTCATGGCAGCATCACCCATTTTTCACTCTCTCTCTGTGTGGAGCCACAGTGAAGATTAAAAACCATGCACACACCACTAACATTGCATTCACTTCATTTAAATACTCTCATCTTTCCTGCTTCCTTACCTAGCACAGATGAGCTGAGATGACTGAAGTGTGAAGGTCCTGAGAACAGAAGTAATGGAAACAGATATAAGGCCAATGGTTTAGCATCAGCATCCAGCCATTGTTCAAGCATCTTACCTTGAGATTGAATGCCGACCTGTGAAGAGCTTCACCGCCACTTGTCTTTTTAAACAAACCCCCTCTGCCAAATATGGGGAGCATTTCAGGGTCCAGGAGTATTAGTGTGTCTGAGTCGAGTTGGGGGTTTCGAAAAGGGAGGGAGTTAATGAGTGGCTGAGAGTAATATAGAAATCAGTGGGTAAGAGTCTTATCAGTGACAGGGCTGGCCTCCTGACAAGACCATATCTGGAGTTCCATGCAGTGCAATGATTAATCATTGGTATCCTTAGGCAGCTGAAGGACTTTAAATAGAACGAGGGTGGAACTCCTTTATCCATCATTCCTTAAGTTTGATTAAAATGCACATATAATACATGTCCAGGAGTGGGACCTGTCTATAGTCCATTCAAGATGAATACTTATCACACACTGACTTTATTTTTTAATGACTAAGAGAGAAGCTGAGAAACCTGTGTTTTTCCATTGCCTAAATTCAACAACAGAAATTATTTTACATAGTAAATTGTCTCACAATAGTCTGTGATAAATTATGTTAAATAATATGTTGTCAATTATTAATGTTTTTGATTTTTTTTACCACTGAGCATCACCATCAAGTAAACTTCTGAGGCTGTTGCTTAAACACAAAAGAAAAGCAAGACAATGTTTGGGGAGGTATTTTAGAGAGAGGCATGTGAGTCAGTGAGCTTAAGTGGACTTAGAGTGAAGAATGGGAAACAAACCATTGTTATCATAGAAGGGTCTCTGCAGGAACACAATCAGCCATCAGATACCAAGTGGGCCAATCTAAAAAAAGAACATCAGCCTGTGAGATTAACCAGGCGACAAGTGCGAGGGGACGCAGACAGAGAGGTCCGCCACAGGTGACATAGTTGAGATTCACTCAAAGGGGGTAATGATGACAAACAATGGACGGCTGTGACGCTAATGTGATGCCAAGGTCACAGTTGAAGCCTTCTCTTGTTATCAGACAGCACCCCACTGTCCCCCCTCTTTTTTTCTACAGTGGTGGTGTCACAGTGTTGTGTCTTTGAGAAGATGACGCGTGGAACTCCCACCAAGAATCCGGCCGTGTTTGAGGAGAACATCCACAGGGATGTCTCAAGATCCTGACATTTCTATATCTGTCCTCACCCTGGCTCTCATAAGCCTTTCAAACAGAAAGCAATCAGTGCTGCTCAGAGCGAATCAAGCAGAACCATTATAGAAACAATATTTCCCCAAAGTAGAGTCAGAGGTACAGGCAAAGAGTCGCCATCCATTTTTGTGGAACTGTAGCCATTAGACTGTGTTACCCGAGCTGAATCAAAACATTAGTTTAAGTTGACCTGCTTCGCACATTCTAAATTTCTTATATTGACTAATTGACTAACCAAACCAGTCTAATAAGTGACCATGAAACTTATTTAAAATGTCAAACTTTATAATTTTATTTCTTTTGGATTTAAAGGCTTATAACACTGCGCCTTGAACAGACCACTGAGCGTAAGACAGGAGTCACTGCACATAATGTATAGCGTACTGTGTCACACAGCCATTCAGTGGCAGCAGTAAATACTCTAAAACCTCTCTGAAGGTTAGGAGATAAAAGGGAGGGTCAACAACTGCTGACAAGTGCTGAGATTATCTCCACCGGGTAACAGTCACTGGCAGTCTGTGAATACATGACGAATGGAAGTGAAAGATTCCAAGAGTTCAAGAGTGAAGATAAAGATGATAACCCTAACACTCCTTCAAGTAAATGGTATGTCCCAAAAAAGTTTAACAATAGAGTTAGTCACATTTGTATGCTTTATGGATATGGATTTTTTTTTATATAAATGTCCCTGTTTTTCACTCATCTTCTACTCTCTTTCTGTTTTTACTCTTTTTACTAACTCTTTCTGTTAGTAAAAATTCCATCAGTGAACACCAGGGATCAAATCTGTGACTTTCTGGTTGTAAGGCCAGGGCAATACCCACTCTCCATATGAAACCTCCCTGTTTGTTTACCTAAAGCGTTTACAAAAAAATGTTTTAAGACGGTTTGACCGTAGAGGCAGTGAGCGGCTCTGTCTTTGTGCAGCCTTCTAATGATTACATGCCTGGGTATCAAATGTGCTGTTAATCCTTCTGATAATCCTGAGCTCATGCCGTGGGGCATGTAGTTCACTGCCTCAAATGTAGGTGTGAATGTATTTTCATTAGCCACAGATACCTGCTTGTCAAGTGTGTGGGGGGTTTCAACATGACATGTAATAAGAAAGGAGCAGATACTCCCTCTACTCAACACAACAGGAGCGTCTGAGCTCAACCTCCTCCCTCTGAAATGTCTGTCCACCCAACAACAACAGAGGCTCTTTTGTCTCCACTGCAATATATACATATATCATTATACTTGGAACTACATTTGAGCCAGGTATTTGCAATATTATGAGATATTTTACAATGGTTTTTCGCTGGATTTAATATTAATTCTCTAGAAACTATTATGTGTTCTTTGGAAAGTTATAGCATTTCATTGCCATGGGTGCAATTATTTAGAGCGACAGACACTGTTTAAATTAGAATGTAACTAATTATCAGAGTCATTGAAAATGAATGGATACAATCATATCTGTGTCTCCTGACAAATTGGGACGCCTAATCAAGTTTATGTAAAAAACTCTTGTTTATGTGAAAATGTATTGTAATGAAACAGCACTGTTGAGCACAAACACTGTTGATTGGTGTCCAACAGTCTACTTCAAATTGTAATACTTTTGATTTTTTTTATTTAGCTCATTCATTAAAAAGAAAAGGAAAGGAAAGAAAAGGAAGACTACAATATGCAATTGCATGATGCCATTTTATTAAGCACTACAGGAGGTGAATATAGGTAGCTGAGGGGAACTAAGGAAAAAAGCAGGTCAGATTATCACTGAAGGTTCTACTGCTTCACTCTTCCTCAAAACCTTTCTGAAGCAGCCATGGCAGTTGGAGAGGGAAAGAGAGAAAGAGAAAGTAAGAAGAAAGTTGTTGTTGTGTCACTGGATTAGTCTTGCTCTAGTATATTAACTAATGTCTGTCAGGGTCAGATGCTGTGCACCTGCAGCAGATTTCATGCTACAAACCTTTGAGCCCACATCACGGCTCTTGGCGCGCAGCTTGTTGACCTGGGACTCAGCGATATCGGCCCGCTCTTCGGCCTCATCCAGCTCATGTTGCAGCTTGCGGAACTTGCCGAGGTGAACGTTAGCCTGTTCCTCCTGTAGAAGATGCAATTTAGGTTTAGTTCTGATGAGGTTTTCCCAGTAAATTTTAGAAAAACTCTTCTATCCCGCATTTCCACTGTACTCACAGACTCTTCAGCTGCTCGCTTGTAAGCTTTAACTTTCAGCTGCAGCTTGTCAACCAGATCTTGCAGACGGGCTATGTTCTTACGGTCTTCCTCAGTCTATTAAAAAAAAAAAAATCAAGAAATTAAATATCTGTTTTAATGTATTTAAGGAAAAAAAATTAAAATAACTGGCCACTAACCTGGTAGGTAAGTTCCTTGATGCGGCGTTCACATTTACGAACTGCTTTCACAGACTCACTGCTCTTTTTCTGCTCCAGTTCAACTTCGTTTTCCAATTCTCTCACCTGATCAGGGACAATTCAATTTTAGTATTTTTTTTAAATAACTTTGTTAGTATAATGTATTAAAAGACAAAAAATACTCACCCTGGCCTCGAGCTTCTGCACCTGCTTCTTGCCTCCCTTTAAGGCGATCTGTTCGGCTTCATCCAGACGATGCTGCAGGTCTTTGATGGTCTGCTCCATGTTCTTCTTCATACGCTCCAGGTGAGCACTGGTGTCCTGCTCTTTCTTCAGCTCCTCTGCCATCATGGCAGCATCAGTAATGGCCTTCTTGGCCTTCTCCTCAGCATTTCTACACTCCTGCACAGCATCTTCTACTTCTGTCTGAAGCTGGGAAGTATCAGCCTCCAGCTTCTTCTTCTGGTTTATCAGGCTGGTGTTCTAAAAGTCCATAAACAACGGACACATTTTATAATAAAATGTTTTAGGGCATACATGAAGGAGAATGATGACGACTCACCTGTGAGTGCAGTAGCTGCACCCTCTCACTAACATCCATCAGCTCTTGCTCAGCAAGTTTGCGACTTCTCTCAGTTTGCTCCAAAGCAGCTCTCAGTTCTTCCAGTTCAGCCTGAAGCAGAGTGTTGCGTCTCTCAACAATGGCAATGTTTTCTTTCATGTCATCATTGGCTCGGAGAGAGTCGTCCAGCTGCAGCTGAGCGTCCTGTAATGTTTAGAAAACCCCATTTTAGACCTGCATTGAAATGATACAGTGCCAGGTACATGATACTTGGAGTATTTTATCTCCCATTCACCTTCAGATGTGCGTGAACAGATTTGAGCTGTTTCTGGGCCTCAGCTGCCTGCCTGTTGGCCTTTCCTGCTGCGACACTCGGCCTCCAGAGAGCTCTGCAGGGTTTCAATGGTCCTCTGCATGTTCCTCTTGCTCTGCTCCATCTCTTCATCCTTCTCTGCAAGTTTACGCTCTATTTCTGCCTTGATCTGACTGAACTCAAGCTGGGCTCTCAAAATCTTTCCTTCCTCGTGCTCCAGAGAACACTAAATATAATAGAAAAATATACAGCATATCTATGTGCATGTACACATGTATAGTCTTAGAAAACTCTTAAAGCTTTTAACGTTCAGCACATTCAACTGATTTTTTGTTTTTGTTTTTTTTTACCTCTGCTTCCTCAAGGGCAGATTGAATCTCTGACTTTTCCTGGTCCAACTGTTTGCGAACCTTCTCCAACTCATGAATAGTTTTTCCTCCCTCACCAAGTTGCTCGGTGATGTCAGATATTTCCTCTGTGAATAACAAAAAAATAAAATCAGCCATTTGTACAGTATATGTTTAGCCATGACACACTGACAGATACTTTACCCTGCAGATTCTTATTTTCCCTCTTAATGGTCTCCAGATGATCCAGAGACTCCTCGTAGGAGTTCTTTAGTTTGAAGAGTTCAGTGCTGAGAGACCTGGACTCCTTCTGCGAGGTCTCCAGCTCACACTGACACTCCTCATACTTCTGCTTCCACTCAGCCAGGACCTGGATGTTGTGATATATGTTGGGGTTTAAAGCACTAGTAAAGAGAAGTTTGTTAACATTGAAAGGAACCATAGGAATCAAGGACAACAACTGAAGTTGTTTTTGTTGAGGATGCTTTGTCACCTTGTCAAAGTTTCTTTGCTTCTTGTCCAGAGCAGCGGCTGCAGCATTAGACCTCTCCACGTCCACCATCAGATCTTCAATCTCATTCTGAAGTCTGTGTTTAGTCTT